CACGAACCTGGTACCAAGTTACCACCCCCGGAGGGTAGAAAGTTTGGTTGGCCCGATCCAGGATTTGATCCCCGGACCGTGCGCGTGGTGAGCGCTGCATTTTGCCACTACACCACTTCTTATACCCAGGGATAGTCACCGAAATTTCTTGAAAAAGTCAAATAACCCGAGCGAAAAGTCCCATGTTGAATCCACCGACAAATCTTTAATCTCCCCTTCGGTTAGCTGCAAAAATTCCTAAACGTAGACGTGAGAGTTTTTTCCTACTTGCCCACTCTCAGGTGCAGATAGCACGTCATAAACTTTAGTGTACACTGACATGAGTGTAAAAAAATAGGACACGTGACATCAGCGGAAAGCGTCGCTCAACGCGCGCGCGACGCGATAAATTGTGTGGCAACTGGTGATAGTTGATAAAAAGGGGGGGGTGTCATACCGACCCGCTCTCGAGAGGGAGATCCGCACTGACACTACTATTATATTTCACACATCACGATGCTGTACCCTGCTCACAGCTGAAGCCAGATCTGTCACAGAGCTAGCATTTGATGTTTGAATTTTTTGTTATTGAAACTTCTGCCTAACTCCGCAGTTCGCGCTGCGAAAGTTACCATAATAAGAGGGTCCTGGTGGCGTAACGGATGGATGGTGCACTAACAAAACGTTAGATGTTGGTTCGAGTACGCCTGAGATTGGAATGTTTGCGTATAACTCAGCTTTTTTCGATTATGCTTGCAATGCTTTTTCCTGTAACATTGTGTACTTTCTCAGCTGAAGAAGAAATGTGCATTACCAGAACGAAAGAATCATTGAAGCGTCAGATCGAGCTTTTATCTTACTAAAATGCTTTCAGAGTCCCTACTATCCCGCTTCCTCAACCTCCAGAACATTATGAAGATGATGGTGGTGAATTTGAGTGCTACGAACGAATCGATTTCTGCGATGAAGTTTCAGCCGGTAAGATTTCGCGAATGACTCCCAGCATCGTAGTGTGAAACATAGGGGGGGGGCGTACTTTTCCGCTGTGGAGGGGCATGATTCGTACCGAGACTCTCGCTTAGGTGGGGGGAGGGTCGTACTGACACACTCTCTCGGAGAAGGGGGCCGTACCTTCACCATCTTTTCACACATCACGGTGCTGTGCCCTGTTCTCAGTTGAGCCCTTATTTTGCTCAACTTACTTTCTACTGTTTTGTTCTTTTTCGCGTTGATTTTATGGCACCTTTTGTAGAGGAAAATTTCAGAGTAGTGGAAGGTCCGAGACGGAGACGCCGCCAAACCATGACAGGATGTCCGAGACGTAAGCCCCTTCATCCTTTTGTCATGTGTTTGCTGCTTCTACAAGAGCCACACACACTCCGATTCGCTGCGGATACTGGGGCGTGTCAGAAGGATGGATGGAGTGGCGCAACCGATTCTTCCACGATGTGGGTCAAAACTCACCGTCCACAGTTGGGGTAAAAACGGGATGGCGCCGCGCCTAACCCAGCCCAAATCTGCTCACATGTCCAGCATCGGGCACAGCGAAGTGATGACTGTATTTCTGATTGTTAGAGTCATCAGTGTTGCTGCTAGAATGCCAGTTTGATTTCGATCAGCATCACGGCGATGTAATCTTAAAGTCCCAAAAAAGGATTGAAATTTCTTATCTCACGAAAAGTTCCTATTTCGTGATTTCCTACTTCGTCAACTCTATCACATTGCGTCATGATTAACTCACTGTTACTCCTCTTGAGCGAATTCAGCAAATTATGGCATGTGACTTGACTTTGACATAAGCTAATAGCTCTCATAAACTGAAAGTGATCTTGTTCTGTCTTCCAGCATGACTTGCCTTGACCCCAAACGGAGCTTATGTAGAAGTAGGGGCGTACGTGCTGCTGTAGGGCCCATCCATTAAAAGATGAGCAACTTTGGCACTTGCTCAAAAATATCTAATAGGTAAAGGGGGCTTATAGCGTGTGAAAATGACGGAAAAACGAACTTAAAGGCTATAAAACCAGCGAAAAAAACCTTGATTGTTATTGGCACTGTATTTTCGGGACGAGTTACGGTTAGCATCGTGAACAGCTTTCTAGTAGACATGGCGCGCACGTATCTGTTCCAATATAATTTTAGCAGCCGGTCATACAGTTTGTAGCTCCATGAATGGATGCGAGGGTACCGGATGGCGCTTGACTTGTCTGGCGATTTGTGCACGCGTGGTGCGATGACGTTTCGCCGTATTGCTGCACCTTGTTAGTAGCTGTATTGGCCTTGGTTGAAAAGGGACAACGCTTTAAAAACAATATTCTTTCGGGACCTGCAATCTTGTAGATTTATTTGTGCCACTTGCCTTCAACTCGAATTTCATATGGGGACTTACTGAAGTTTCACACATTCGCGGCTTTATTAATGGGCACATTGGTATTGTTGCTGAACAGACTGGAACTTAAAATTGCCACGTTCGGAGCAACAGATATAAATAAGCATGAAAATATGGCTGGAGGGAGTTACGTGTGGTTACGCCGGACGAAACAACGTTTGTACCAGTTTCGCGGCAAAAAAAATCGTTAGGGGAGGGTTATTATAGCGTAATGTTAGGTTCAGTTGTCGCCTCCCTTTCAGTGACTTCACCCCCAACTCCATCTCAACGCCGATTCTTAGTGAAAAATGAAAAGCTGTCAGACGAAAAGTATGAAATCGCTACAATGTGCGGTCGTAGAGTTCTTATAGGGGAAGCAGCTGTGCGGATGAGGGCGTAGGGTTGGAGATAGAGCCCATTGGCACGTACAAACTGGGATCGAAATGGGGTTCTATTGAGGGCAGTTGGCATGTTTTTTCTCTGCTTTTTCTTCACTATCCAAGTCACTGCACTTTGTCGTCTATATGCAAATCCTTACACTATCGTGATGGTATAATGTATCGCTGGCTTTGTCTCAAGGGCAGTCTTTGACTTGACAGTCTCCCGATCGTTCCCAGCCACTGAGTGTGGAATGCGAATGAGAGGCTATTAAATTTTAGCATAAACCATTTCCCCTTTGGGAGATGCTCCGCATACCACCCCTATTCAGAACCTTGGTTGCACTTTGAATGTGTTTTGGTCCATAGAATGAATTACGAGAGCCTGCCAGTGCGGTGTACAAGTCAGTGTTTTTCTGGACAGTATGATATCATTCACTCGACCGAGGGATAGAAGGTTTGGTTGACCTGATCGGGAGCCTAACCGGGATATGACCCTACCTAGACCGTGCGTCTAGCAAGCGGCGCCACTTGCTACTACAGTAATTCTGTGATTTCCAAATACACATGGACATTCTTTCGCTATTCTGGAACCATTTGGATATCTGGCGTATTCCGAAATGGTGATGACTATCGATAAGTATATTCCTGCCGCTTCAAAATAAGAGCTGACTATGCAAATCGTCTCCCTGCTGTGCGTCTCCTGTTCGAAGCTCACTCACATTAATATTCACGGCACCGAAGCGACACTTCCGAAGACTTTCATGAGTGAAAAGCCTTTGACGGAGAAAGCAGCGTTTACAGCCATGTCACCTCCTATAGAAACGCTGAGCAGCTTGAAGTGAGACCTTGAATGGCTAATTCGGCGAAAACCATCGACTGCCTTTTCTCATCCCATCAAGTTTTCTCTACGATCACATCTTTCACAAAACCAATCGTAAAACTCTCTTACAGCAAACAGCCTCTTCAGTCGGTTAATGATTTTCCCAAAGTAATCAAGTATCTTTGACTTGTAATGGATGAGAGTGATAGACAGTAGTCTTTTTTGGTTGCGTTCTACGATCCCTATGTAGTGTAGTCGGCAGGTGTAGGAACCGGTCGCAAGGGGGTGTTTTTTCTCGAGACGTCATGTCTCGACTTTGCGTACAGAAGACTGGAAGGGCCGAAAATTTTTTGAAAGCAGCCGATAGAAATGAATACGAGGAATGATATTTCAGGGAAAATCTAGCAGCAGAACGAGGTGCAGTGACAGAGATCGCACTCCCTCCAACATTTGAGCGAGAAGATCTCCACCTAAGCTAAAGTTTTTCCTGAGAACTCAGCGATTTCCCCAACGTTATGATGGATGTGCGTTAGTTCACTAGGAGTGAGGCTAATACTGATTCAGGACTGACCCGCTGACCTTTCCTGATTAGATATTTGGTCAATGGAAAGCAGCGCTGCAAGAGAAACTGCAACAATCTTACGGTCTTCTGAGCAGCGATTCACCTAGTTGCATTGAAAAACTAGCGTTTGAGATGTTGAGATCCTTAATGCGTTCGCCGGTCTGAGGGTCAGATTCTTTCGGGGACGAAGCCCTTCAACTGAAAGTTAAGGTACCGCATTCGTTTGGAAAAATAAAAACATCGGGTGGCCCTGCAGGCGCATAAGCCATATCGCATTCAAGAATCCTCTACAATGCTTAAAGGCAGCGCCCACGTTTATTTGATGTTCCCGCGCCCTCTCTGGATATCATAGCCCTCCCTATGAGGATGCAGTATGTACTAGTTTTGCATCTCAAAAAGGCGAGAGGATAGCGCCGTTCGCTAGTGAAGAGTCGGTCGCCGCCCGCCTGGCCAGCATAGGGTTTCTTTTTCTAGGGCATTTTTCATGATTTTTCTGCTTTTTCTTCACTACTGGATCACGTATTATATGAGCTCCATAACTCATTATTCTTGAAAGCGGGCTCAGCCTTTAAAGGCTAAGCCAAAGCAGTTATGGCAGCCAGGTGGGCGGGGCGGCATCCTCTTCACAAGCGGGTGGCCCATCCTCTCGTACCTTTGAGCTGCGAAATAAGTACATCCTCCACCCTTGTCGACAAAGCTACGATGTCTAGGGGGGAGGGCGCAGGAACATCAAATGAATGCGGGCGCTGCTTTTAATGAAGGTGGATCGCGCTCACCAAAAGAGAGCGATCAACGGTGAAAGCTTTTTCCTTTCATCCTCTTGGTTCCTTAACCACGATTCCTTAATAATGCAAGTCTCATTCAGAACTATAGTTGAGTTGCAGCAGTAATTAGAAGGTGCTCATCTAGTCAGCATTTCGCTTACAGTGCTAGCTCTCTCCTCTCTGTAATGGTGGTGCTAACAAAGGGGATCTAACAGCCCGTAGATGTAGGAACCGGTCGGCAAACTTTCATCCTCTCACAAGCGGCTGACCGCGATGCCTCTTCGGACCTTTGAGCTGCGAAATAAGTAGCGTGAGTCGGCAGCAGTAACTTAGAAGATGCTCATCTAGTCAGCATTTCGTTTGCACTCACTGCTAAAATAAATAGCGATCAACGGTGAAAGCTTTTTCCTTACATCCTCCTTAGTTTCCTTAACCAACGATTCCTTAATAATGCGAATCTCATTCATTTAGGGTAGCCATAGTTCAAAGTTCGGCACTATTGAACTATTCCTACCCCAAAAACTCTCAAAAAAAATTTTCGCTGAAACATTGCCTATAGATGTAATTCGATGCGCTGATCACGAATGTAACACCAGTTTCAAGCGTTGGCGTCATTTGGCGCCATTATCCGCCAATTTGGCGCCCACCACTTTTCCGAAGTTGAGAAAACCTTGCGTGGGGTTGAGTGACGGTCCTGATCACGAATGTCACACAGTGTTTCCGCACTATGGCGCCAAATGACGCCAGCGCTCGAAACGGATGTTATATTCGTGATCAGCGCATCGAATTACATCTATAGGCAACGTTTCAGCGAAAAAAATTTTTTTGAGTTTTTTGGGGTAGGAATAGTTCAATAGTGCCCATAGTTCTTATTTTGAGGCGTTAACATATGTAAGTAGGGACCTTTTGTCCGAACAATGTGTCCAGCAGCAAGCGAATCTATTGTCCAACAAACAGGGGAGAGTTCTGGGCCTCCTTATTGGCGTTCCGTCAAGCGCGCAGCAAAAATAAACTAGGCCTTCGTGGTAACCACGTCAACCTCTACAACATTTACCAAACAGTTTCAAATACAAGCTTCACGGCCTAAGAGATCTCTCTCGTCAGACAGATTTGGGGTGAACAAGGCAAGAAAAGAGAACGAGAGAAAAGCCATGTGGTCTATGTTGAATATATAGGAACAGTGTCCAGGGCAATCGTTATTGGGATTCCCCATCAGGGGGTTTGTATTTGGGCTGAGAAAAATTCGTGTCAATAGTTGATTTTTCTTGTTTCACGAACACTGTATAGTGAGCGGGGGTCGTACTTGCTCGTTGTTGAAGGGGGAGGGGAGAGTCCCCTGACCTTGATGTGAGAAGGGTTGCTTGACTTTTGTCGTGCTTTTTTTTGTTTCATTACTACATATACACCCCCCCTCCCGATTCCCCACCGCTGGATGTGCTCTGGCAGTGACGTTGATACTGGAAACTACTTATGAGTATGTGATGCCATTAGAGGCATCTCAGAAAGTTCTCCTTATATCTGCAGGATCCGTGCCACTGGACCGAAGTCGTGGATGAAGCTGAAAAGTTGGCAGTACTACGGACACATGGCTGAAGTCCCTTATATTAAAGGTTTCGAATGTCTGCAGAGCGTAATCTTTGGATGTCACAAACACAACTCAAACGCAATATTTACGATGTTTGGAATTATTCCGAGCGTAATTACTCCGGAACCACTTTAGCCAACTCGGCGCATCTTCACTCCTCTTATGACACCTTGGGAAGATGTTGGCTTATGAAAATCTCGCTGACACTGCAGTTCTTACAAGCGGCATCGGTGACGGTTAGATGGACCTGTCGGCTTCAGCCAACCCTAAATGGTCTATCTGGCGGTGCAATGGACCTGGTCATCAGTTCTTACTCTTGAGCTCGCGTCAGGGCACATCGTTGTTGGAGAATCTCCAATAGTGGGGGGGTCGTATTTGGCCGCCAGGAGAGGGGGCTCGTATTTGGGCCTAGGTTTTTCTCGCTTCACGGATGTAAAGAGTGAAGAGGAAAGAGTAGGGAAGTTTTCGGGAAATTTTGGAAAAAGTGGCAGGAAGTTGGGGAAAATCTGAGAAATTGGTGGAAGGGGGGTCGTATTGTCTCGCGGTTTTTCCTGTTTCACATGGGGCTAATTGCCCCCGCCCCCTCCTTCCCTCCCGGCCGATTCGACGAGGAGCTATCAGAGGGGGGAGGGTCCGCTACAACCCCCAAATAAAGGGGGGGGGGGGGGGAAGTCGTACGGACTCGACTAAAATCCCAACCGATGATGTGCCCTGGCTCGCGTCAATGTTTTTTTTGTCTTCGTGTCCATCCGATGCTGTTTCCTAGCAATGAGCATCACTGGAGCTCAAAATAACCCAGAAATGAAGTTGTGGATCACTTCACTATCTTACTTAGTTATCTACCCTTACAGATATCGGTTGGGTGGGGACGGCTGGTGCCGAAAGGCTTGGTCAGTGAGGTAGTACTCAACTTAATTTACATTTTAATTAGCCTCCTTCAAGGGAGAAAAGAATAGGGTCCAGATAAGTGGGAGAAATCAACTAAAAGCCTCTTCACAGTTGTTCCCCACCTTTCTCGGCGGTGTAAACTACTGCTGATGTGCGCTTGGTTCAGTTCGTAAGCATTTACATTCCATTCTCCCTGTTCCTCATTCATAACATTCTCAAATGCAGCGTCCATAATAGGAAATTGATGGGAGACTCTTTCCCGATGTACACCTCCATTCGAACCGGCCTCGTTTCCCTCAATTGCATCTCCTCCTTTGATTGGGACCCCTGGTGCGTTGAGGCGTGCGATCATTTACTATTCAAATCGTGATAGCAGCAGCCTTGCGAGGATCCCTGCGCTTCTACATGACTGTACAGTAACCTCGATTCTGGCTAGAGCTGATCTACATTAGTTTCACGGGTTCCTTCCAGCCCTTGTCCTGTACAACTTATTCTTTAAACAGGTCTGATGTAATATGAAACGAGCTTTAAATTTGTTTCACCAAAACCTCCATTTTTGGTTTTCATCTGAACCTCAGGCGACTACCTTGGTTTTTAGCTCAAAATGGTAGTAAAGAAATCCAAAAAGAAAAATTAAATGTTTAGTTTCACGCAGTCTCCCACACTGTCTGGTGGATCATCTCGGCATTCGTTCACATCACACAATTCCAACACAATGCCTCGTTTCTCGGCCGGTTCCCAGTCATCCACTCTGACCAGGTTTGATCTTTTTGCTTCCTGAAGCCACTTTTTTGTCGTTTTTTGGTCACGTATTGACTGCTTTCTGTGTACAGTTGTCTTTCTTAAGAATTCTATTTATTTGTGCCATGACGTGCAGTCGTTTGAGGGCTACTAATAGTATCAAAATTGAAAAATAAAAAGTGCGTTCAACCTATAAACAGCAAAAATAAGTGACCATCCATGGAATAAACACTTAGGGAGGAACCTGAATTGATGGCTTTCCAATCTCTCCTGTCTTGTCATCAGTGCAATGTTTAGAAAGAAGACGTCACCGCGATATTCGGCATCTGTTGATTTCGAGAAGTTCCTCCGAATAAAGAGCAATTTGCAGCAGAACATCTCAAAGAAGGTCTGTTTCGCAACATTTTCACGTCTATATTTTACCGTTTACATTTTGAATTCATGACCTTTCAAACCAAATTCGATAATTGTTTACCATGCCATTTCGGCAGGCCAGCACTTAGGGTCATGCCCACATTTCAGCGTGATCAGAGTTTTTCGAAATTTATTGTATAACTTCTGCTTTCGAGGCTTTTTCGCACTTTTGTTATTTCACACATACACACTAGTTGAAAAGGACTGTACATCGTCAATGGCAACTCCACACACTTTGAAAGGACTTGTCTCATTGTCAGATTTCGAATTTTCGTTTTTTTTTCATCGTCGTTAAATTTCACAGCCACTCTTCGTACAATGAAGGTACGCGAACGTGCTCATTGATTTGTGTTCAGGTATACTCGAGATCCCTTAGATTGGGTAGGCGTGGACTGCCCGTTACTTGTTTGAAAATGGTTGGGTTTTGTGAAATATTTTCATTTTGAAGCAGTCGTAATCATGTCAACATCTAACACAGAAGAAAATAGCACTTGTTTCAAATTGAGTATCCCACGAATAACCCTTCCTAAGCAGCTTGCTCAAGAGCCGCGCCCTGCTCGACGTTCCCAGGTCACTCGCCAGCACATTGAGCTCTCCGCCTACCCGATCTAAGGGATCAGCCCTCCCACATTTGCGTCTTTTTGCAAAATTTTCGTCCTTTTTCGATTTTCACCCTTTTGAGGTACTGCGGGTACCACTCCCCAATACGCCTACTTCTTGGCACCTCTGCCCACTCTCGGAAAAGGTCTAAGATTAGCAGTTCTCAAGAAGGTCAGAGTTCCGCTCGACACTCGGAACAGAATGAAAAAACAGGCAAGTTTGTTCCAAGTGACGAGTGAGGCACTTAGTTAAAACCCTAAATTGAGGCGTTCCTCGGAAAAGGGCGGGGCTTCTCGTAGTGGGCGGGGCTACCCGCAGCGGTCCAATTTGTGGAAAATTCTGAAAAAGATTGGAATTTTGAAAAATGGGACGTGGTTGGACGGTGGGGTCGGGGGGGAGCTCGGCTGCCGGCAACTTATGCGCCATGAGTGCCTTCGTTGATATGAAGAGCGCGCTTAAACGTCGACCGTAAAAAAAATAAACTCCCATGTTCTGAAAGGGAGTTCCTTCAAGGAAAGGCGAAGTCTCATGTGTGTCAGTACACCAAGACTTTTCAGTTAGTGTCTATATGTGAAATAGCAAATATAAGGTGGAGTCAGAGAGCCAGAACCTATTTTCATGTGAAATTTTCAAAAATCATGACCGCGCTGAAAGGTAGGCATGACTGCCGGGGCGTGGCTTGCGGTGGGTTGATCAACTGGCCCTGTGCTTTGAAAGTGTAAAGTGAATTCGATTTTGGAAAAGTGGTCGAAATACAAATGTGTAAATAGTATAACGTATACTGTTTTGATCTTCCGCAAAAGCCGCTTATGAACCAGACCTCAGAAGACCGGCGAAGGGGGTTGCTGCGCAGGGTGACTTTTCGATTTGTAAATGTCCTAGAATCTCGAGAGGCCTTAGGTTCTGCGTGTATACTTTGCGACACTGACGAATTCAAGGACCACGCTCTCAGAAATGTAAACGCAAAACGTCTGGTCGACGTTGTTTTTTTGATTCTTTTCCGAACTCGTGATTTGGATATGATTCTCTTTGATGCAGTTAATCCCTGACGTAAGAGAATTATTCAGAAAGAAATTTCGAAGCAAGCGGGAATGAAAAACCAAAAAGGTTATTAATATCCAGAAATTTCGAAGCAACGGGATGAAAAATAAAAAGGTTATTATTCCAGAAATTTCGAAGCAACGGGATGAAAAATAAAAAGGTTAAGGATCGATACGGCTCGATTTGCCGCCTAAGCCTAAGAGTAAAATTCGAAAAATCGCTGTGGCCGGCGAAGACGATGCTCATTCATGCGCAAAGTGCCTGATCCTTTGCAAAAATGGAATGGACGTGACCCGGTCTTTAATCGCCGTGCAACTTTGCAGCGTCAGAAAGTTGGCGATAAGCGGATTTCGATGGTGTTCATCTCCGATTCAACGAAAGACGTGTTCATCTCCGATTCAACGAAGGACAGCGAATACGGCAGGAGAAGCGACGGAGGTGGATCAGAAGGCAGTCCGAAATCCAACGATGAAGACATCTATGGGGATGAGTGGAGCAGCGACGATGATGATGGTTTGTATGCTTGTGTAAACGAACCTGAATAAGGACCCTTTTCTGACTAAACTTCTTCTTTTTAAGACAGTTTCTTTGTCAGATTCCTTTGAAGGCAGCGCCCGCGATCGCTATTTGCAATTTGAAGAGCTGCGAATCACTAGACCATGTGCTAGTTGGGAAACCAGTCAAGAAAGAGACTACCAAACCTCCGAAAACGCCCTAAATAAGGACCTTAAAACTCTGAGCATTTTAGGGGTATACGGCGCAGAGAAAATGAATGTAGGAAGAAACCAAGATCTCCATTCTACATAGCGATTATAAGACGAAATTATGAAGGCGACGCAATGCATGGGGTCGGGGCTAGCTTGTTATCACTTAGCCATTACGCTCTTACCAAGCACTTCCGAGTCGTTGAAGTCGGACATGCTCGCACGTTTTATAATCGCGGACGCTGTCTTCATAAGGGGCCAAGAGGAACATGTAAGATCTTTAAAGAAAGGCTTCGAGCCGACAAAAAGTTCGCCGGTTGCGGGTCTGAAAAACTTCTTGTGTGCTGGTTAATTTTGTCAAAAAGAAAAAAAGCAGGGGTACCCGTTGAACAACACTAAGCTCTCCTTTTCCGAGCGAAAGGGCAGAGAAGAGCATGGACACAGCACGCAGACGGCAAAATAGAAGATACCACAATTGATGCGGGGGAATCACTTAATGGCATAGGGCACGATAATTCTAATTCGGTACCGATTTTAAGTGATAGCAGTGTGCTAGGCAGTGCGGAAAATGGCGAAGTGAAACGGTCGAAAACCTGCAAAAAAGGTTTGTGCTACACGACTCAGAAAGCGCATTCGGACGAGTTTCACGTTGGCATCGTGCCAATAAGCGCTGCGTAGATACGGCCGCACCTACAGGGGGGGGGGCAAAAAAAGACATTTCGACCGAGTCAGGATACGAGTACCAGGGCGGAAGATACCCAAGATGTTCCTCGATAAGCAGGAGCTGGCTCTCGCCCATCACCTTCATGTACACCAAAATATGAAGTCATCTCCAGTCGCAGCCTGACTGGAGAAGACCTTTGGAATTCATGTCACCTCCAAACAGCTGCGAAACTTCTAGTATGGAGTCACCCATGGATAGCTACCTGGAGACCAGTACTCTCGATCTGGATGATCTCCAACATCGAGCAGCTCCGACAACGTCCCTACGGTCTAGGACATCATCTCCACCACAGTCGCCAAGGTGCGGGCTGATGGTTTGGACCGGATTTACCTGGAGTGAAAAGACCGATATTTTCTTCGTGGACCCCTGGACTGAAGGTGAGCGTTGGTGGTTACAGCTTACTCAAGAAGATATTCCTCCCACACATGTCGTCGCCCGTCTTTTTGGAAACTTTGTACTGCTACAGCATTGGGTGCCACCACATGGAATTGAAGGGCGTTGGAAAAACTCTCGCTACTTGGAATGGAAGGGGGAGTACCTGGAAAAGATGGAATATCTAAGCAGGTCACCTGAACTAAACCCCCTCAATTACCTGGTTCGGGCGGAGTTCAATAGGGTGGTCTACAGTGGCGGAGAAATCAACGATCTCGCTGAACTCAGGTACCCACTCACGGTCGCGTGGCAGAATCTCTCGATGGCGCTCCTCCAGAAGGCTGTGGCGGAGTATCATGATAGTATTTAATATGCTCTTTAATATGGTGGTAGAAATGTCCGATAAGAATTTAATAAAGTGTAACTTATAGCGCCTCGAAAGTCAAGGAAGAAAAGTCTTTTTTTGGCCCCCCTGTATGTACTCATATATCCATGCAGCACCGCAGCCGCTTCATACCAATCCCTTCGCTTCATATTTACTTAGCAAATGAAGCAATACGAGCATCAGCATCGGTCGTACATTTGTGGGCGGGCGGGCGCGGTGGGTGTCCGGGTCTGCATGTTGCAGCTTGACAGGGTGCTACAAGGGCGCCCTCCTTGAGGGAAGCGCCATGCAGCGCCTCCTCAGGGGCGCCGAATTCTGTCCTGCGTATTAATCCTACTTTTTCGGGGTTTGTTTGCCACTTGCCTTCAAGCAATCTTGCGCATTACCGCCACTAAATTACAACTCTCTGACGCTACACTTGTACAAGGTTGTTCAGCGTGGTCCACACTCCAAAGAGCTCAGATACTCATTCTTGATCGCGGGCCATGCCTTGAAGCAATACACGTAACAAACCTCGAAGATCTCATGTTGTATATGTAGGTTGCACTTGCTACTGGTTTATGGGACAAAACATATCAAATCCAATTGTCTGAATTAGCTGTTGAGCGGGAGGACGTCAATAGCCATAGATCTTGGTAGCACCACCAGACGCCATCACTTGGAAAATAGTCGAATAGCATAAGTTTACAGCTGACGGGAAATAAGCGAAATTAG